TACAGAAGGGTTGGGTTCTGTCACAGCTGCCCAGTGTGTTGTGTTATTTGATGCCTAGGAAGAACATTCCTTTTCTTAATTTAGTCACTCTAAAGTATTAGTAGGAAGACTTTTAGTTTGTGAGGCCCTAGTCTAAATAATGGTGATTTTATGATTATCTATAGATATGTTGTAGTATATTTTGTACATTAAAGGATGATACATCTCCCCAATACCAAAATTTCTCATAGTTGTACACTACGCTACTAATATTGGATATCTTCCCAAATTATAAAGTTTTTAAATGTTATTTCCATTCTAAGCATTTTAAATTAAATATTAAAAATGCACTCATTAAGTGCTTTTAACTCGAGCATGGGAAGACTTCATTTGACTAAAATTTGCTTGCATAACTATGAATATTTTGTGCTAATCTTTGAACCCTTTCACTCTGTGCTCATTTCTAATACTGTAGCAGAGGCAGCTGTAAGGGCAAGATGAAAGGTAGATAAAGCAGGGCAGGTGTCACATGGGCAGTGCTGTTTGCCCTGGGACACATACAGTGGAGTTTGTAATGTGATTTTTTTTCATATTACTTTGAGAATTTTCCTATAGGATTTATTCTTTAAATTTTTTATTTTTTTAAAGTAATTCTGTGAATGTGTGCTATGCTATGTAATGTATGCATGCATGCATGCTATGGAGCACGGGTGGAGACCTGCGGGCAGCTGGAGGGAGACAGTGCTTTGAGTCCTTCATGGGGTCTTGAGGAACAAACTCAGAACTTATTTTAAGACCCACTGCGCCATCTTGCCAGCCCCAGGACTTATTTATAACTGGCAATTTAAACACTGATTAAAAAGCTAGCAGCAGGGCTGGAGAGATGGCTCAGTGGTTAAGAGCACTGACTGTTCTTCCAAAGGTCCTGAGTTCAATTCCCAGCAACCACATGGTGGCTCACAACCATCTGTAATGAGGTCTGGTGTCCTCTTCGGGCCTGCAGGCATACACACAGACAGAATATTGTATACATAATAAATAAATATTAAAAAAAAAAGCTAGCAGCAGTGTCCTTGAGCACGCGCCTTCTGCAGTTGTGACCTGCGCTCTCCGTATCTAGGTATGGAGGAGGACCCGCAGTCAACCACCTGTACATCTGTCACACCTGCCAGATCGAGGCTGAGAAGATTGAGAAACGAAGAAAAACTGAACTGGAAATTTTTATTCGGGTAAAGATGTAACACTTTCAAATTGTAAGCTATGTAAGCTAGAGATGGCCAGCCTGCAGTCGGCGGTGAGAGAGCCGCAGTGGGCGTCAGGTCCTGCCTGCGTGGCTGTGACAGCCCTGCTCGGTTCTCTACAGTTCTGTTTCTCGTCTTCCTGTGGGCACATTTCTGTTTCCTGTGCATTTGCCATGGCAAGAAGTTTTACTTCCCAAATTGTGTGTTCTCTCATTAGAGTTGTCTATAGTCTGTGCAGGCTGCATCTGGTTGTGGCTGTTGATTGCTAAAGGAACCTGCATGTTCATTCTCGAAGGGTCTGGACCCTCAATAGTCTTAATTGTTAGATTTCTGTAAGGTTAAGTTTTAACCTCTGGTAAAAGATTGTAGGAATACTGAATAGTATTTGTACGCAGTTGAATATTGGATCCTAAAAGGCTCTTCCATGTTGTGCCTTTTGTGAATTGACCTTCATGACAATGACACCTTGAAAAGAGCCTTTGCATAGGATTTTGAGTTGAAATCATTCTGAGAAGTTTGTATAAAACCTAAATCCAGTCAGTGTCCCTTTCAGGGTACACAGAGAAGGTTCAGAGTACTATGGCAGGATGGAGGGCAGATTGAAGGAGGAGGAAGTGGAGGCTCTAGATCTCCAGGAACAGTGCTCTGAGCACTTTGATGTTGGATGCTTGTTTCTAGAACTGTGAAAAACAAATTTCCCTTTTCAGTTACCAATTTTGTGATCATTTATCTTTGGAATATTCTACAGAAAATGTAGTTTCTGTTAAATTTTTAAGACAAGGTCTTTTTATTGTTGTTTTTCAAGACATGGTTTCTGTGTAGCCCTGGCTGTCCTTGAACTCACTCTGTAGATCAGGCTGGCCTGGAACTCATAGATCCACCACCGCCTGGTTTAGGACAAGTCTTCATGTAGTGCTGTCTGGCCTGGAACTTGCTGTGTAGACCAGGTCTGCTTGGTCCTTCTCCCAAGTGCTGAGGTTAAAGGAAGTGCCAGCACCCCACCCTCACGTCACTTGTTTCCTAGCTCTCAGCTCTCAGCTCTTGTGTAGTCGTCATTTGTGTAATATAATTTGGGAAGCAGTCACTGTAACTGAGCTTAATCATTTTAGCCAGTATTTTGAACTCTTAATTCCTCTTTCCCAGTTGGGTCAGTGACCTGAAAAACACAGTATAGTCAAGGGACTGTATCAGGAGCCAGTCAGTCTCATGAAAACTACTTTTCCTGTGGAACTAAATCCTCTGAAGCAGGAGAGGCTCGAGTTCTGGATATAGGGGGAATGTTTTTGTGAGTGTCAGTGTAGGAAGTTGCGGGTGGGTTTTCTTCATCCATAACCCACTTTTTAGCATTGTAAATTTTACTAATGGGGAAGATACGTTACTTCCAGGGTGGGGGCATGTACCATAGTACATAGAACACTCTCAAGCCTGCAAACTGTTGCTATCAGGTACAGAAATTGAGTCTTTTACAGACTAGCAGCTTTTGGGTGGCAGCCTGTGGTAAGATCAGTGAACCTATGGATGTGAGACCTTTTCTTCTTTGTATAAAATTAATTCCATGATCAGAAGCAATGTAAGTGAAATCTGGTGGCAGTGATTTTCTTTGAGAATATCATAATTGCATTGTACATGTGAAAATACAATGTATTTTCAACTTATTTACTCCTGTTCCTCCCAGATCCACTCCTACACCTCACCTGTTTTTTTCTTCTCTCTCTCTCTCTCTCTCTCTCTCTCTCTCTCTCTCTCTCTCTCTCTCAACACACAGACTCACTGTGTACTTACTCTTGGCTGTCTTGAAACTCACTATGTGAACCAGGCTGGTTTTAAAGTTTTAGAAAGCTGCCTTCCTTTACTGCCTGAGAGTCCTGGGATTAAAGACATACACCACTACCAACCCATCCCTTTTTAAAAAATAACCCACTGAGGCAATTTCTGCTTCTCATATACTCATGGTACTCATGGGTGTAGGGCTGTCATTGTACTATGGTCTACCTAATGGACAACAATACTCTTAAACAAAAGACTACTTTCTTGGGCTGGAGAGATGGCTCAGACGCAGAGCACTGTTGGATTACTGAATTCTTCAAAGGTCCTGAGTTCAATTCCCAGCAACCACATGGCAGCTCACAACCATCTATAATGAGATCTGATGCCCTCTTCTGGCATGTAGGCAAACATGCAAATAGAATACTGTATACATAATAAATAAATCTAAAAAAAGAAAAAGAAAGAAAACTCTCTCCCTATTCCAGAAGCCATTAGTTGTCAATAGTTCCTCAACTAGACATGGGGACTTGTGAGCTTTTTTCTTCCATGATGGGAACTTAAGAGATCACAAGTTAAATGATATAGCAGTCTGGTATGTGTTATTTGTTTGCTTATTTGTTTTATGGTATTAGAGATTAAAATGCTAGGTAAGTGATTTACCACGGAGCTATATGCCTAGCCTGGTAGGTTGGGGTTTTTTGTTTGCTTTTTTTAAAAATAGATTTAATACTTAGTCTATGACTCTAAGCAGCCTTGTTCGCAAGTATTTACTACAGAGAAAATGACAACTTATGTTCACATAGAACCTGTAAACAAAACTCCTTAGCAGTCTTGCTCACAAGTTACCCTAAAATGGGAACAGTGGAATGTTCAAAAGCTATCAGATTAGTAACAAAATGTCTTAGAGTTGTACAGAGGGATACTGTTCAGCAATGGAGAGCCCTTGGTGTAAGTCAAGTGTCCTGGCATATACCTGTATCTGAACACTTGAGGCCAACTTGGTTATCTAGGAAGACTCAAAAAAAAAAAAAAAAAGAGAGAGCCTGCCGTGGAGCATTCCTACGGAAAAAGCATAATGATAGGAATTGACATCCTCTTCAACAGTATAGTACTAGTTTGAGGCTGGCCTGACTACACAAGACAGACTTTCATATCTCCACCCCCATAAGCAATAATATGAAAGAATCTTAAGGATTATGTTCCATTGCATGTGATAAATATGACCTTTCTTGGCTGGTTGCACCCAGTGCCATTAGCTTTCCTAGCAAACATCGCATAAAGGTAAGTGCAACTTAGTCTTTTCAGGGCCTCCTTACGTGGACTCTGACCCTGCTACACATTGCCTTCCCTCCATGGCTTTTTGTAACCTCGATATAAGCTTCTAAGGCTCTTGTTACATTTTACACCATGCAAAAGCAGCGTTATGTAGATGATACTCAGTTCCGCTGCCAGCCTAAGGGATAGCCCTTTGGGGGACATTTCATATCCAGGTCATAAACAGCTTGGTCAGAAATAGGTGACCTTGGCGCTCTGGAAACAAGTGGAGTTTCTGGAAACTTGAGAAAGCAGATAGGATCAGTTTGAAGAACCAAACTAAAAACCAGAGGAAATGAAGTGAGCATAGGACCTTAGGGTTTAGAAGTAACAGACACCAGTGATGACTTTGACATTCCACGTATGTGAAAGACAGCTTAAGGGAGTTGGTTTTTTGCTTCCACTATATGAATCATAGGGATTCAACTGGTTACCAGGCTTGGTGGTGTCTAAACTAAGCCATCTTGCTGGCCTGCCTTGATTTCTTTATTATTGAGACAGGGTCTCTGTATTCTAGGCTAGCTTTGAATGTTTGTTCTTCCTGCATTTACCCCCAATGTGCTGGGATTATATGTCCATGCCCAGGTTTTTTTTTTAAAAAATTGTTTTTGTTGAAAATAGGAGCGGCAGGGCTGCGTCCCCGGCACCCGGCCGCCCGCATGGCTAGAAATACCCAGAAATAATTACACGGAAACCGTATTCTTTCAAACACTGCCTGGCCCGGCTAGGTCCAGTTTCTTATTGGCTAGCTCTTACATATTGTTCTAACCCATTTCTAATATTCTGTGTAGCCCATGAGTTGGCTTACCAGAGAGGATCTTAACCTGCGTCTGTCTGGAGCGGGAGAATCATGGCGACTCTTCCTCTAACCTTCTTTCTCCCAGAATTCTCTTCTGTATACTCCGCCTACCTAATTTTCTATCCAATAAAATGGGCCAAGGCAGTTTCTTTATTAGTAAGAAATCATTCCCACATCATTTCCCCTTTTTCCGTTTAAACAAAAAAGAAAGGCTTTAACTTTAGCATAGTAAAATTACATATAACAAAACAGTTATCAAGTAAGAATTACAGTTACAATATTTATATCTATTTTATCTCTTATCATAACTAAGGAAAACTATAACTATTTATTCTTCAACTCCATCAAAGACTCCAGAAGGATATAATATTATCTAAGTAAACAAGAAATAAGAAAACTCTAGAAATGACAGAGACATCTCGCTGCCTGGACAGTCACCCAAAGTTCCTCTGTACCGTTGGGGCATCCATCTTCGGCCTACAGGCCCATGGTATCCAGATACATTTCCATGAAGCAGGAAATTTTAAAGACAGTTCAGTCACTTTCTGCTGTGTTCTGTAGAATGTCTTGTAGACTCTTTCATGAATCAGGAACCCCGAAAGACCATCTCACCTTTAGGCAAGTTCAGCAGTCCTCTCTCTGAGGGTTCTCTGTGTCCAGTTTATGCAACAGTCCAGGCAAGAGCAGTTTCTTGCCCAAATGACTATCCAACTCCATAAGGATCCTCTTCGATGCCCATCTTCCTCTTGAAGTAGCTGGTGCTGCCAGGAGCAGACGTGTCTCCTTGTCATGAAAAGTCCTAAGTTATTAAAATATTTTAAATGCCATATTCTGCAGTCTTTGAAAGATATGAAGAATGCCTATCTAATTGAAATATATCTCTATATATCTAGAAAATCTAACTAACATGACTACAAGCTTAACTATTAGCAATGATTATCCATTAACAACCTATATTTCCTAATTATACATTACATTTTAAGTGAACTACATAATCACAATACCTTAATCAAGTTCAAAAATACATATACATATAACAAAATTGACCTTAAAATCCATACCAATGCAAATTATTCATATCTATATCATATCCCCCTTTAAATGTAAAAGAACATTTATAAACAATATTTGGGAACATGGGCGTAGTTTTTTCTCTCCAAACTGCTTCCTGCTGAATGGGGGCACTGTTAATCAGATCATTTAGGGTGTAACCTGTGTGTCAGGTTCATCTCGGTTGGCAGTTGAGTGAAGTAATTTTTTGAGGGTGTTCACAGCAACCTTTCAGGAGGGCGTGGTCTATCATACCATACCGGGATAGATGCAATCCATAGGGTCACATCCTCTGTGGAAACAAAAGAAGACCCTCTCCAAAGCATCATATCCTTAGATCCAAATTTTGAAGTCAAGATACCTTTAGAACATATGTGCAGGTTCAGCTTAGCAGCCCATATAATAAAATGTCTCTTTGTACTTAGCTCCTTCACAGTCAAAAATTTTAAAGAAAACACAATGTACATAATCCAGACTCTCTGTGAATTTTTCATTTTTACGTGGCTTATTTTTCTTTATTTCTCTTAATCTATAACTATCTGTACTTCTGTACTCTGTCTCTTTAAAGACTTTACCCTTTTTCTTTTTAAGACATTAACTTTATTCTTTATATTCTCTTTTTTTCCCCAAGCCTACGTACATTCATCCAACGGTGTCTGAATCTGTTTTACTGTGAATCTGTAATTTTTTTTTTTTTTTCCAGGAGCATTTCTTAAAATGTTAAGCATTTCTTAAAAACTTAAGTTGCACCATGTATAGGTAATACGGTACTGCCTGTGTCCTGCCCAGTCTAAACCTTAACTGCACGGTTTTAAGGTAATTACGGTAGTTCCTGCCTGAGATCAGCACAGTTCAGCAAGGAGCAGCCGCTCCTGCCTCAGAGTCATTTGGTGCTTTTGAGCTGAGCACAGTTACAGGCAAACAGCAGTTTACATTGGAGCCGCAATCAGCAATTTAATTTTGAGACTGAGTGTGCAGCACAGAAACTCTTTTTATCCAAGTTACAGCCAAATCTGACACGCAGAGCACTGCGCAGTCTGAAAACGCGTCTCTGTATGGCAGCAGGAATCCGCCATGCTCTTCCGCCTGCCTAAGCCTGATTCCGCCATCTGCCCAGGTGTAGGCAGGGAACGCTGAGCCATCGGCAGGTCTCAGAGCAATCTCCTCCGATCCCAAGTGGGAACAGAAACATCCAGTCCCATAAAAGCCTTGAAATGCTTTAAAGCCAGAGTTCACGCTGGCAGCATAGCACCAGGAAGCCGCGCTTTAAAATGACGCAGCTTTTTTTCTCTGCTGCTGTTGCTGAATCAGGAATCTCTCTACAGCATGTCACCAACAAAACAGCAAAAATCTGTGTTAAACTCTGTTTCCCTTATTTTTAAGGCTTCTCAGGTTTTTAAGTGGATTTAGCCCCACGTTGGGCGCCATCTGTTGAAATAGGAGCGGCAGGGCTGCGTCCCCGGCACCCGGCCGCCCGCATGGCTAGCTTATACCCAGAAATAATTACATGGAAACTGTATTCTTTCAAACACTGCCTGGCCCGGCTAGGTCCAGTTTCTTATTGGCTAGCTCTTACATATTGTTCTAACCCATTTCTAATATTCTGTGTAGCCCATGAGTTGGCTTACCAGAGAGGATCTTAACCTGCGTCTGTCTGGAGCAGGAGAATCATGGCGACTCTTCCTCTAACCTTCTTTCTCCCAGAATTCTCTTCTGTATATTCCGCCTACCTAATTTTCTATCCAATAAAATGGGCCAAGGCAGTTTCTTTATTAGTAAGAAATCATTCCCACATCATGTTTTTATTGAGCTATATATTTTTCTCCACTCCCTTCCCTTCTACCCGTCCCATGATCCCCATGCTCCCAGTTTACTCAGGAGATCTTGTCTTTTTCTACTTTACATGTAGATTAGATCCATGTATGTCTCTCTTAGGGCCCTCTTTGTTGTGTAGGTTCTCTGGGATTGTGAATTGTAGGCTGGTTTTTCTTTGCTTTTTATGTCTAAAAGCCACTTATGAGTGAGTACATTCTATATTTGTCTTTCTGGATCTGGGTTACGTCACTCAATACACTGTCTTCTAGATCCATCCACTTACCCCCCCCCCTCCCCCGTGTACTCCATTGCATAAATGTGCCACACCATCTTTATCCATTCTTCAGTCGAGAGGCATTTAGGCTGTTTCCAGGTTTTGGCTATGACAAACAAAGCTGCTATGAACATGGTTGAGCACATGTCCTTGTGGTATGACTGAGCATCTTTGGGTATATATCCAAAAGTAGTATTGCTGGGGTCATGAGGTAGGTTGTTTCCTGATTTTCTAAGAAATCACCATACTGAAATCCAAAGTGGCTCTACCAGTTTGCACTCCCACCAGCAATCACGGAGTGTTTTCCTTTACCACACAGCATAAATTGTCATCAGTGGTTTTGATCTTGGCCATTCTTACAGGTGTATGATGGAATCTCAGAGTTGTTTTGATTTGCATTTCTCTGATGACTAAGGATGTTGAGCATTTCCTTAAGTGTCGTTCAGCCATTTTAGATTCCTCTGTTGAGAGTTCTCTGTTTAGGTCTGTACTCCATTTTTTTTAAAATTGGATTATTTGTTCTTTTGATGACCAATTTCTTGAGTTCTTTGTGTATTTTAAAGATCAGCCCTCTGTCTGATGTGGGGTGGGTGAAGATCTTTCCCCATTATGTAGGCTGCCGTTTTGTCTTGTTGACTGCGTCCGTTGCTTTACAAAAGCTTTTCAGTTTCATGGGGTCCCATTTATTAATTGTTTTTCTCAGTGTCTGTGCTATTGTGGGGTCATATTTAAGAAGTGATCTCCTGTGCTAATGTATCCAAATGTACTTCCCACTGTCTCTTCTATGAGGTTCAGTGTGGTTGGTTTTATGTTGAGGTCTTTGATCCATTTGGACTTGAATTTTATGCACGGCAATAAATATGGATCTATTTTATTCTTTTACATGTTGATATCCAGTTATTCAACCATTTGTTGAATATGCTTTCTTTTTTTCCATTTTATATTTTTTCTTCTTTGTCAAAGTCAGGTGTTCTAAAGTATGTGACTTGATATTCAGGTCTTCGATTCAGTTCCATTGGTGTTTATGCCAATACCAGTCTGTTTTCAGTACTGTAGCTCTGTAGTAGAGTTTGGAGTCAGGGATTGTGATGCCTCCAGAAGTTCCTTTATTGTACAGGGGTTTTTTTTAGATTTATTTATTTATTATGCATACAATGTTGTTAACATATATACACCAGAAGAGGCACCAGATCTCATTACAGATGGTTGTGAGCCACCATGTGGTTGCTGGGAATTGAACTCAGGACCTCTGGAAGAGCAGCTAGTGCTCTTAACCTCTGAGCCATCTCTCCAGCCCCTTTACAGGGTTGTTTTGACCATGTCCAGGTCTTAATTTTTTTTTTTTTTAGAAATACCATACACAGACCCAGAATTTTTCGTATCGTATTTTATGGATCCCATGTAAGTAGGTTTTGAGTGCCTTAGGATACTTGAATTGGGTAAATATTAAAGGGTCAGGAGCAGCTGGGCGTGGTGACACATGGCCTGTAATTGTAACTTTTGGGGGTCACGTGGGCATCTGGAATTTGAGGCTACCTAGGCTATATGAGCTATTTTCTTAAAAAAAATCTATAGGGAAGGACAAAGTGTTGAGTAAGGTTTAAAGAGCTTGAGAGTAGTGAGAGGGGCTGAAGCGGTCAAGAGAGCTCGACTGCGGTGGAGTTGAAGGAAAGGCTCATAGGGGTGAGAGACAGTGACATCAGTAGCTGTAAACAGAAAAGTGTGTGTGTGATCACTGCAGATGCCTGAGAATTAGCAGGGTATCAGGCACACATAAAACAATTTAAAAGTCTTAAAGAACTGGCAGTCTGAATTTGGTTGTCTGTCCTTATCTAGTGTGTATCGTTGTCATTTTGTGCCCCAACAGGAAATGCTGATGTTACTAGACAAATTCTAAATACCCTTTATTGTTCTTTTGAGGCCCTGTTAATTGCACCTCTTTTTCATACCAGTGTTTCTAGCCATTTGATCTTTACTTTTTTTAAAGTCGGCTATGGTGAAAGATTTTTTTAATAAACATACGAAGTATTTAGTGACTTCTTTGCCTCAGTCATCTTCTCTTACCCCGTTTCTCATGCTCCTCTTGTGTATGTTTGTTATATGCTGAGACATAATCTAGAGTCACTTATTGATAGACTGCCCTGTATCTTAGAACTAAGATAACCTCGGGTGTATGAGAAATTGCCTTGTTGGATGCTGAAGGAAAATATCTCAAGTTCCAGATACTAGGTGTCTGACTTTTTCTCTCTGTAGCTCAACAGAGCATTTCAAGAGGAGGACTCTCCGGCAACTTTTTATTGTATCAGTATGCAGTGGTTTAGAGAATGGGAGAGTTTCGTGAAGGGCAAGGATGGAGGTAAGTGCTGAACTCAAAGTTTCTTAGCTATGTTTTGTTTGTTAATTCTGTGATTATTGGAGATTATACCAGTGAACAAAAAAGACCTATGATTTCAGGGAACTTATATTCTAGTTTATAGTCTTATTGCTGTGAACTTGTAATTGGGGACCGAATCTGCTTCAGTCAGTTCATCAGCACCTCCAGCTCCAGCTCCAGGGGAGTCCGACACCTGTTTCTCATCTCCATTGGCACTGGCACACACATCCCATACACAGATACATAAATAAATTTAATCTTAATGCTGATAAACTTTAGAGGCCAGCCTGGTCTACATAGTAAATGCTGTGTAATAGACTTCATCTCACAAAGACCACCCTCTCCCAACCCGGATAAAGAAAAACCTTAAAATATCACACAACAGAATGGTGAGTCAATTATAGTTTATCTAGTACAGTGGAACACAGTGTGGACCTTTTAAAATAATTATGTATAAAAATTTGAAGATAAGGCCTGGTGCATGCCTTTAATCCTAGCACTGGGGAGGCAGAGGCAGGGACATCTGAGGAGTTAAGGCCAGCCTCTTCCACATAGCCAGGACTATACAGTGAGAATCTATTCCAATACTACTACTACTACTACTAATAATAATAATTTAAAAATAAGCTGTTCTTCATGTGTTGAGTTGCTTACAAAAATGTATGTATGTATTTGAATTTCTTGGTTTACTTTTTAAAGTTCGCAAACAAAGTGATGGACTTAATTATGGCAATTTTAAACATAATGGCATTATACTTTGTTCTACTGGTCCTCCTGGACTGCCCCTTCAACTGTATTTTAAACAATGTATTATGCAAAAGCAAACCACACATATATTAAAACCGTATGCCTATTTTCCTTCCTCGTGTCTATTGGGAGCTTTTTGAGAATGGAGAAGTACTGCACTTTCATGTTCAAAGAAAAGAGGCTTCTTAATATTTCATTTTATAATGATTTTGGTTTAAATAAATTTAGAACTGAGAATTTTATATTTTTTTAGATTACAAAGGTTTTTTTGTAGCATAAAAAATATCTGACGTGCAGTTCCCAGTACACTTAAGAAACTGTTAGACTTTGTTGCTGGGTGACCTCTCACCTTTCTTGGTTGTTTTTGGGTCAACTGAAATCCCCAAAGCTGGGAAGATACTTAAAATAGATGGCATTTCATAAAAAGTAAATAACTAACTAGATTTTATTGGTAGTTCTCAGTTATTTCAGCTATAAAATTATGTACTTCTTTGCAGCATTTCTTTGAACGTGTTTATTTTATAATTCTTTTATCATTTTGATTTAGATCCTCCAGGTCCTATCGACAACACTAAAATTGCAGTCACTAAATGTGGTAATGTGATGCTCAAGCAAGGTAAGTTTGTTTAATAAACACAGTTTCTTTTCAGTGTACCCCAGACTGGCCTTGAATGTGCCATGTAGCCCAGAATGGGTTTAACTTGTGATCCTCCTGTTTCTCCCTGCCACGTGTGGGGATCAGGGGCCTGCACCAACATGCTTTAATTAATACTGAAACCTTTACTTGTGACGATTTCTCACTGGTAGAAATACTAACCAGTCATCCTGTTATTTTTTTTTAATTAACCTAATTCAGAGATGTTCAGGCTTACAGTAGAACAAAGGGCGGGAAAGCAGTGTGTGTTAGTTGTGGGAGGGTTTTAGAGTTGTTGGTAAGAACTAGGAATAGGGCTGGAGAGATGGCTCAGAGGTTGAGCACTGGCTGCTCTTCCAGAGGTCCTGAGTTCAATTCCCAGTAACCACAAGGTGGCTCACAACCATCTATGAGACCTGGTGCCCTCTTCTGGTGGGCAGGCATACATGCAGACAGAACATAAAAAAAATTTTTGAAGCCAGGCGATGGTGGCGCACGTCTTTAATCCCAGCACTTGGGAGGCAGAGGCAGGCGGATCTCTGTGAGTTCGAGACCAGCCTGGTCTACGGAGCTAGTTCCAGGACAGGCTCCAAAGCCACAGAGAAGCCCTGTCTCGAAAAACCAAAAAANCTTCCTTTACATAACCGCAAGCCTAGAAAGTGTTGGCACATGGCTGCTGTTTTGTGTTCACAGTGTGCCTTCCTGTGGGTATTCCCAAAAATCAGAGCGAATGCTCACAGGTCTTTAGGCTCTAATGGTAAGGATTCCTAATATTACAAAAAGCTCTTCAAGGGAAAGAAAAGGAACAGAGTGGACACCAACCACTTCTCCCCAGTTCTAAAACCTCCTGCCATCTGTTTGTGCCAAGACAGACGTTAGAGGCTCAGGAAGGGTCTACAGTTTGCCTAGGAAGTCCTTCTTCTGTTGCTGGAGAGGGAGCTTAACCTCTCCACGGTGTGGCTGGATTGCAGGGGCGATGGTGGTGCACGCCTTTAATCCCAGCACTTGGGAGGCAGAGGCAGGCGGATCTCTGTGAGTTCGAGACCAGCCTGGTCTACGGAGCTAGTTCCAGGACAGGCTCCAAAGCCACAGAGAAGCCCTGTCTCGAAAAACCAAAAAAAAAAAAAAAAAAAAATTGAAAATTAAAGACATTGCTTTAAAAAAAAGAACTAGGAATACACAACTTTAGACATTTAAAAGTATTACGTGTTGTAGCTTATATCTCTGCAATATATTCATGTTTGTAAACATCGTTCTTTGCATGCACACAATTTTAGGAGCAGACTCTGGTCAAATTTCAGAAGAAACATGGAATTTCCTGCAGTCCATATATGGTGGAGGGCCTGAAGTTATCCTTCGACCTCCGGTGGTTCATGTTGACCCCGACGTACTGCAAGCAGAGGAGAAGATTGAAGTAGAAACTCGATCGTTGTAGTTTTGAGGGTACAGAGCTCTAACGAGAAGTCGTCCGCACTCGCACATGCATTCAAATCATTCCTTAAAGCATGTTTCTTTGATTTTTCACCTTTTGTCACATTTATTCCTTTGTACTGGGCATTATGGGAGGGTATGTTTAAATGTGTAATATAAGTTGGTAATATTTAATGCTAAATAACTTACCATGTCTTTCAGTGTACTGTTTATGTTCTTTGACCTTGGTTCTGGGCAGACCCAGGTGCCCTCTTCAGTGATGTAAATACTTCTGCTTGAAAACCTTTTCATTACCCTAAGCCAATCTTTTCAGTTCTCAAAAAAACCTAATTTAATTGTATAGTTTTGACATGGCTTTGCATAGTAAGGAGCTTATTTTAAATTGAGAGTAGTGGTCAGAAAATCGTTAATTTCCTAAAGCTCAGGAAACATTAGGATGTTCTTTTGCACTGTAGCATACAAAATTGCATATTAAAATTTACAAAATGTCTTTTGAATGTAACAGGATGTATTTAGTTTGAATGGAATTTGTCACCAGATAATCAGTAACTTATTGCTGCTTATAATGTAAATGTTAAACTTTAGTTCTGTAGACCTGAATGGTATTAATGTCAGTAACTTAAAAAAATCCTAGTTTTAGGCCACTTTTTATTTTGAGAGCATGAAGTATGGAATGTGTCAAATGAGACTGTTGATAAAGCTGAAACCACTTGCAAAATGATTTTTTACTGAAATGCACAAAGTCTTTCTAAATAATAGAGTATGCATTGCTGTTTGCTTGATTATGTGATGTGAGAGCTTAACTGTATTCCAAGTACAAACATGCTAGGGTGACACCGAGGCTATGCAACAGCATTCACGACAGCGTTGTTTTTGTGTGCGGTAGCCACACCGTCTAAAAACAATGTTGTTAAAATCCATTCAATAAAAATCATTTTAAGATGTGTAAACTGAATGTTGAATTTATTTGATAGACTTTTTAAAAAGGGCATGAAATTTGTTATTAATGCTTTTCTTCATATCTTATTTGAAAACATGCAACAAAGAAGTTCTTTGCTGTAATAAAGTTTATTAAACCATTTCAAGATGGACAGCATGGTGGTTGGCATCTGTGTTCACGTATGAGGCTCAGGCTGGACGAATTTGAGTTTGAGGCCAGTGTGGGCTGTGAAACAAGACTGTCTCAAATGGCAGCAAACTACAAACTAAACCTGTCAACTGTGGGTTAGGAGTACTAACTTTCTAATTCTAGCACTCTTTTTCTTCTTCAGTGTAGGATCTTATGCATGTTAAATACTATCATGTTCTGCCAGTTGGTTGTAGCACACATCTTTAATCTCAGCACTTGGGAGGTAGAGGCAGGTGGATATCTGTGAGTTTGAGACCAGTCTGGTCTGGACAGTGAGTTCCAAAGCTACAAAGAGAAACCCTGTCTTGAGAAAACAAAACAGCAAAATAGCATCATAGGTGATCTTATGGCTACAGCCCCTTAACAGAAGGTAACCAAACTGCCCTGTGCCATTGCATCTTGTCCAGACCAAAAGGCCTAAAAGTAGTGGCCTCCAACAGTGCACCTTACTAACTGCTGGTAATGGATAGTCAGCGCTGTTCCTTGATGGGATGTCAATTCCCTAGGGGACACTGCTTCAGGAGACTGAGTACAGTGAGCTCAACTGATGAGCCACATGGCTAACAGATAAGAATAATGGGGTAATATAAGTTATAAAAGTTAATAAAAGCCTGAGCTAATGGGCCAATCAGTTTACAATTGATGTAGACCTCGGTGTGATTTCTTTGGGACTTAATGACTGCAGGAACTGGGCAGGACAGGAAGTATATCTCATTTTAAAGTACCATCCAGCTGAGGTGTGAGATGGCTGGACCCTACATCATACGATGTGGTATAGGTGCCAGCATCACCCATGGGCTAATGGTGATCGGTTTATTCTGAATGGGCCGAGAGAAGGGAGACCCAGTGGGAGGGAACAGGCTGCTGGCGGCATGCCTCCTTGTAAGGCTACACTTGTCTGAGACTCCTAGCTGTCCCCGAGGGTCAGCAGCTTTTCTCTGCTATCATGTCTCTGCCCTGTCCCAGGTCTAAAGCAATGGGAGCAGTTAACCAAGGACTAAATCTTTGGTTCCTTGTTTTCTTCAGTATTTTGTTATAAGGATCAAACCACAATGTTTTTATCATTGTTACACACCAACCCTAGCATTCCTTTTGAGAGACTTATTCAAGTTTCTTCAATCTGAATGAGGGCTATAGCTGAATCTTGAGCCAGTACTCAGTGCTTTCAAGATAAGTTGACCGTGCACCATGCACTCTGTCTCTCTTCAAGGATCTCAGAATCACTGAAGAAAGACCCCCAGACTCGAATGGTATGTAAGAAGTGTTTATTCTCCAGAAACTACCAGCATGCAGGGCCGACCACCTGTACAGATGGTGACCCTGAGAGCAGCACACAGCCTCCTTCTAAGCACCATTAGGGGAATTCCAGGAAGTTAGGTCATCTTGAACATGATTGGTCAAGCAGTAACAGTTACGCTAGTAGACTTTTGACTGGTTGGGGTTACTTTTCCCATCTTACCTGGGCAAATCTGGATATGTTTCAAAGGCTGCCCTTATTTGGTCATTGCTTTGAGATACTCTGTGGCAGAAACAGGCCTTGCACATGCTCTCTCCCTTGTCCCTGCTGTCAGGAGTATTGTTAACAGCACTATGTTTAAGAAACTGAAACTGAGGCCTGGTTTGTAAAACAGAGGAACTTTAGATTTCTCTTCTCTCTCTCCCTCTCTCAGACAGGGCCTTACGTAGCTCAGGCTGGCCTCAAATTTGCTTAGTAGCCTATAATTCCGGCACTGCGAGGCAGATAATCAAGTGCTACACAGGGAGCTTTAACTCAGTCTGGACTATAAGGTCTTGTCTCAATGAAAACAAACTCCAGAGCGGAATAAGTGTTTTGTCACCAATGTGAGCAAGGTCACAGGCTGGGTCTCAGGTAGCACATGTTTATAGACTGGTGCAGGGACTTAAAAGGGAACACTCTTGGACCATTCACTTGGAGGAGAAAAAAGCTGAACGAAATCTGAACAGAGGAACTGGGCAGAGGTGGCACATGCCTTTTACCCCAGCACTCGGGAGGCAGAGGCAGGCTTGGTCTGAATAGTGCCTCATCTAGTCCATTGGATCATACAGATGGATACAGGGTGGAATCAATGACAAGACCTTTGTCATTACCATCATCTCTTGGAAACAGATGACATGGTGTGACAAGGACATGGCTGGGGCTGACAACCGGTGCCTGGCTCTAGACACTGTCTGAGCAGCAAGAGAGGTGAGTTCTGACCATCCCCAGCAGGAGCTATCCTTTGTAGACAGCACCCTGCTATCATGGACAGAATTTGGTGGGAAAACCATGATATTTTTATACCTTTGTCTATTCCAGCAGAGTTCAATGAGAAGCATGGGAAGGATGTGCTCTGGGGACCCCGCTACTACGAAGACTAAGGCAACGGAGGCTGCAGGTGTGATCATCAGCACAACATACCTGGCACCCTTTGTCTTGTAGATGTTACTTTGGGTTCAACTGAAAACAAATACAAGATCACTTCAATGACTAAGTAACTTAACAGCAATTAAAAAAAAAACACGAGCTGGGCGGTAGTGGCGCACAACTTTAATCCCAGCACTCTGGAGGCAGAGGCAGGCGGATCTCTGTGAGTTCAAGGCCAGACTGGTCTACAAGATAGTTCCTGGGCAGGCTCCAAAGGTACAAAGAAACCCTGTCTCGGAAAACCAAAAAAAAAAAAAAAAAAAAAAAAAAAAAAAAAAAAGAAAGCACAAATATCTGCTTGGAAAAACAGAACGACTGCCTCAGGTAGGAAAACAAAGGCACTGAAGCAGGACTTTTACTTTTGGGAAAAGCTCCAATAGCAGACCCCACCAGTGGATTTGGGATTTTTGGAACATAATCTCATAGCCAGAGGTTTAGGTCAGCGTTTCCACAGCTCAGAGTGACAGTCTATGTGCTATCCACCCAGAGAAAACGCTTCCCTCCATTACTGACGGCGGGCATTACTTTCCTCAACTCCCAACACAGCGTCTTTGAAGGCAGGTGTTAGGGATTGAACTCAGAGCTCAGGCCCGGTACGCACGCGCTGAGCTACATAAACACACCTGAGCGCCAGTAACCATCATTTTTTACTACGTGCTGAGCCATTTGTCAGAAAAACGCCCGGAGAAAAGACGTCCCGCCTTTAAAGTTCCTACATCCTTGGTGGCGAGAACACTTACAAGTAACGGCTAAAAGTGCCGTCTAAAGGTGCGCTCTTGGGAACCGGGTGGTCTGGACCGCCCTCCGACAGGCTTCTGAGACCTGAAACCCGGGAGAGGTGGGGTGCTGGGGCTCTGGGGTCGCGGTCGGCCCTAGGCATGAGCACAGGCGGGAGGCGGAGAGCATCGCTGAGCCGGGGCTGATCTCGGGAGCCGGCCCAGGTCCCGCGGGCGGGAGGGCATCGCTGAGCCGGGGCCGGTCTTGGGGGCCTGCCCAGGTCCCGCGGGCGGGAGGGCAGCCTCTGCGGGCAGCCCGGGAGGTCCCCACCACGCCGGGGAAGCGGCCCTGCGCGCCCTCCGTCCCGCCCGGCAGCGCGGCCGCGGTCACCACCAGGTGGCGCCATGAGCGCCCGGCCCCACGCATCTCAACCCGGAGGAAGGAGGGGACCGGAAGGAGCCGCCGCTGCTGCGGGAAGTGGAGGAGCGGGAGGCGGGGACCCACCTGGAAGCGCCGCGGCGCCGCTGTGGAGCTTCCTGCGGCGGAGGGCGCTCGAGCCTGTGCACGGCGGGGGCCGAGGGCGGCCACGCGGGCGGCGCCTACCCGAGCGGCCGGGCCCGGCGCGAGAGGTGAGCGGGCTCCCGGAGCGCGTGGCGGGGCCGGCCGGAGAGAGGGGGGGGGACCCGGGGACAGCGCGGCGGAAACGCGCGGGGCCGGAGCCCCTCGGACGGGCGCCGGGAGGGGGGTGGCTGAGGCGGCGGCGCCCCCACGTGGGCCGGGCGCGCGCGCGTGCGTGCGCGGCGGAGGGGGCGGGGAGGGCCGCGGAGGCTCCGGGCGCGCGCCGCTCTGCCCACGTGACGCTCACGTGACCCGCGGTGAGGCCGGCTGAGGTCGAGCTCGGGTTGGTGTGTGGCTCTTCGGCTGGCGGAGGGCTCCGTGCGGCTTCCGGCCCTGCTCCTCCCGCACCGGGGACTCGGGGGAGACGCACGGGGCGGGGAAGGCTTGCCCCTCCTCCCGTCGGTCCGCCGCCCTCCCGTCCGAGACCGAAGCACACTTCTCAAAGCCCCGAAGTAGTGATTTTTTTCGCTCCCCTTGCCGCCGCCATGTTGGTTCCAGAGCACGCCCGCGAGATGCTAGTGGGTCTGTATCGCGAGAACTCCCGGTTCTCGCGGGACCTGGTTGGCAGAGCGGTTGTGCTGGATGGCGGATCCCCGGGTTCCGGGGACCTGGGACCTGCAACTCTTTTTTCCAGCAGGCAAGTTGTCAGGGAGGGGCCGGGGCGCGTGCCCTGGTCGCCGGGAGCCTTGCCTGCGCGCGCCTCCCCGGCGACAGCGACGGCTGTGCGGTGCGGACTGGCCGTCGGGGCGCTGCGCTCCTCCCGCCCCCAGGCGCCCGCCACCTGCCGAAAGCTACCCTGCCGGCCGCTGCCCCTCGGCTGCTCCTCCCTCTGCCATGGTTCCAGACAGTTTCTGCCCAGTTACCCTTTCCCTAAAGCATTCCTGCCTTGTTTACTTTTCTGTCTCCTGTGGCTGCGGTATCTTTCTCCAGTCGCCTAAGAGAAAGCCGAGCATCTCTGCTTGTGTCCGGGCATCACTTACTCACTTGGCCATTGATTAGTTCTCAGTACCCTGGCCGTTGACAGGAGCTTTTGGCAATGTTTGGAGTCCCCTTCATCCCTCACAGTATCTGAGAGCAGAATAAAATCGTTGTTCTGTAGGTGCTTGATGTAGGGCTTTGCCTCTTAGTGTTACTGAGGTTACCCTTCGATATTCGGGGGTGGTGGTTCTAGGTTGCATAAAATGATACTGGATTGATTTAATTAAAATCCCGCTACTCTTGCTATTTAAGTTTGAGGTCATGTTTTCTTAAAGTGACCACTCTCACTACTTCTAGTATCCACGCTTAAGTGTTTACTGTATTCGTTTCATTTATTTGTATTCAGAAGTATGAAAGATGCACAGTCGGGAAACCAGATAATTTATTCATATAGTTTCTTCTTTTTTTTTTTTTTTCCAGTTTTGAAGCGGGTTCGTTTTGTAGCCCAGGACAGTCTAGAGCCGTAGAGCTGACTAGGTAGGCCCAAAACTTACTGCAGTCCTTCAGTCTCAGCTTCCCTACTGGTGAGATGACCACTGAGCACTGAGCACATACACTGTCTTGGTCAGTGTATGCGAACCTCTGCGCCGTTGCTTATGGAGGCAGAAGAGGGTATCTGATTCCCTAGGAGCTGGTGTTACAGGAGTTTGTCAGCCGCGCAGAAATGAAGTAGATGAGGGATCAGAACGCTGGACCCAGTGGGGTGGGGGGGAGTAAGCACTTTTAACCACTAAGCCATCCATGTTAGTTTTTTGTTTGTTTTTGTTTTGTCGTTTTTTTCAAAACAGGGTCTTGGTAGCATTGACTGTTCCAGAACTCCCTCTGTAGACCAGGCTGGCCTTGAACTCAGAGATCCGCCTGCCTCTGCCTCCAGAGTGCTGGGATTAAAGTCCCCGCCTGGCTCATGATCTGTCTCTTTTTAAACTACAAAAGTATTGCTATATGCTTTTACCTGTTATAGTTTATCAGGGTCCCGCAGTCTTTTACCCTATACCTGATCGTTGTGTGGGCCATGCTTTAGTTTGTCTTTTAGGAAGGGGAGCTAGAGAAAAAGATTTAGTGCAAAGTCTGTCTCCTGTGAACACTTCCTTAAGTGGATATTTTGGTGGTGTGTACTGAAAATTTCTCCAATAATAGAACTTTTTTTTTTGGTAGTGTACATGTTCTAGGGTGCTGGTGGCTTTGCACAGAAAAGTCTTTGTAAGACAGATTTAAGGGAATTACCACTTGAGTTTTATAATTTTTAACATACTATATGTAATTATATATTATGTATTCTAAACTAAAAACATGTCAGTGCATTGGGATTTTCCACAAGTTTACTTACTCAAAGTAAGTTCTTTTTAAAAATGATTTTTTAAGTTTAGGAAAAATGTGTATTTTATGTGTATGTGCCTCAGTGTGTGTGATGAAGGTGTCTGTCACAATATAGTCCTTGGAGTTACAGGTGTTTGTGAGTCACTACGAGGGTGGTTAGAACCAAAGGGTCCTCTGGGGGAGCAGTAGTGCTTTAAATGCTAAGCTGTCTCTTCTAGCCCCACAGAGTAACAGCTCTGACCATGCCATTTAGTGAGCTCACTACAATGCTAGACCTCAGTAGTTAATACTAACATCTACTTTAATTAGAAGATGTTAAGTATCTATAGTTTTTGTCATTCTTCTGAAAAAACTTAGCAGCGATAGAGTTCTATTTTAAATCTTTTAAAAACTAAGTAATATAGCTCAGACTTTATTGGAATCTAGGAACCTCTTGCTTCAGTCTCTGGAATTCTGGGACAGCAGGCATTCATTACTAAATATAAATTCTCCTATGTTCATCCAGCCTGTTACAATAATAATTAAAAAAAATACACGACTCAAACAGTGTACTTGTTTGTTTTTTTAAAAATCAGTCTAGTGCAGGTTGGCATGTGGAGGAATGGACCTGTTGAGTTATATGGAATAGGCAAATAGTTTGACAGTGACAAGGAGCTGTAAAAGCTGTAGAGAAAAGGAGGGTGCAGATAGCCAGAACCCAAGAATAGGCAGCTTGGAATGGGGGGACACTTGAATTGACAGGTTCTTTTCAGGGTGGGGGTAGGGGTGCTGTTAGTTTTTGGACAGGTTCTCACTGTGTAAACTTGACTAGCTTAGCACTATGGCTTTGAACCCATGGCAATATTACCACCTCTGCCTTCAAAGGGTTGTAACTGCAGGGTGTACCACTATCCCCAACTCTTAAATGTTTCTTAGACAAGTCTGCAGTTCACTTAGGTAGCACTTGTAATAAAGGCCAGTAGATGAAGCATTTTATTTATTTATTTATTTTTGAGACAGGGTTTCTCTGTGGTTTTGGAACCTGTCCTGGAACTAACTCTTGTAGACCAGGGTGGGCTCGAACTCACAGAGATCCGCCTGCCTCTGCCTCCCGAGTGCTGGGATTAAAGGCGTGCGCCACCACCGCCCAGCTGAAGTAGATATTTAATTGAGAATGTGTGGAGTCTTTAGTAGACAATTGAGCTGGACATGGTCGCTTGTGCTTGTAATCCCAGCACTGGAGGGTGAGGAAGAAGTGGATCACTGTGCTGGACCCAGGTTGGGCACAGAGATTTTGAGGCCATTCTGGGTGGCAGAGTGAAAACCCCATCCCTGAAATATCCAGAGGAAAAAAAGAGAAGCCATAGCTACACAGATAAACCATTCCTAAAAAAATCCTTAAGTGAAAAAATTAATAAATAATTAATTTATAATTAATAAAGTGAATAAATTATTAAGAATAAGAAATCTCTTATTTCTTATATTGCAACTGTTGTTTTACACTGTTTTTGGTGGTGAATTTTGTAAATTATCAATCTTTTGCAAATAACTTATTTTGCGGTTGAAGAAAATGTAAGTATTTTGCATGGAATCATTGTTCTTGCAGATTATAGTAAAGTACACGGCCAGAAATGTCAATGGAAGTATGTTGCGGGTGCTTTAAAAAGAAAACTATTTCAAGAAAAATTGAGTTTGGCATTAAACAATAAGTAGCAGTTGAGTATTATAATAGTATTTTGGCAGCTTTTAGTATAATTGTGATACTTTTTTGTATAATTTTCTATAATTAGTACTTTGGTAACCACTGTCATACTAGAAAAAAGTGTATGCGTGAGTATTAGCATTGCAAAGTCCCAGAAGGTGTGTATGGCTGCTGAAGCTCACTGTCTGGACTTGGTGGTCTTTGACTTTGTTCGTCTTCTCTTCCTGTTGGTAGGCAGAGGCAGGGGGACCTCAAGTAGTCTTTCTCTGTATGGTGTTGTATGATAGTTTCTGTCTTGATAGATGAGTGAGCTGTTTTAACTTTCCCTGAGGACAGCATGGTTGCATGAAGGTCAAGCTAGTTTGTTGTCACGGCCACCCTTGTCCCACAAGGATGATGTGCTATACACCGGAGCTCTTCTCACTGCAGTTTATTCCAGGACTTTATTCACTTTCCTTCCTTTCTCTTCGGGCAAACCTCTCCCAGCCCTTAACTAGGCATGGGCTGCCAACCCCGAACTGCCAGGTGGGCACTGCCCATAGGTTCACGCATATGCAGGCAGCTGATAATCATTGCGTGATCATAGCATAGGTCAGGCCTTAGCCATCTCAGGAGTTGATTATACATCTCCATCAGGTGTGACACCACGCAGCTCGCTACAGTTTATTTCTCCTCCCCCTTTGTAGTGCTGAGAATTGAACCTGGCACTTCAATCACGCTAGGTAAGCATTACGCAGCTCAGCTGCTACCCCAGCTTTCCACCCCTTCCCTCCGCTTGCTGTTTGAGGAAGCACCCCCAGAGCAGTGATGGATCTACTGGTGTGTCCCACCTGTGTCTTTTGTATTATTTTGGTTTTTTAGAGACAGTTTCTCTGTATAGCCCTGTGTCTTTCATTTTTAAACTTAGTCTTCTTTCTTACATGTTAAGAGTCCTCCATCTAATGTTTATTTCGCAGCAGTGAGCTCGGTCATTTGTAACATAGCAGAGATTCTGGGCCTTAAGCCGTTGGTAATCCAAGTACGTTAGAGGACAGC